AACACTCAGGGCTCACAAATGTCGTGGTAACTGCTGTTGGGGACTGCAGAAAGGTGATAAAGACTACTCAGTCCTTGTCTGTGCTTTACTGAAACACAAGTGTGGCTTTCTGTGAAAGAGGGTTACTGTTGTAAGCAAATCCTTTGGTAATAAAATAGATCATTCATGTTTGTAGTGCATAAATTGGTTTTTCCTTTAAAAACACCAGTAATGGATGTTTTACAAAGACACTTGCAAATTCTTGTGGCAGATGAAAGAATAATCACTAGATCAAAACAGAAGAAAGAAGGGGAAATATTCCTGCAGCAGTGATCTGTGCCATGGATATCCAAACACTCAGAGATACTGTGACACTACAGGTATTTGGGTCCACATACTCTGCAGTGTGTGTGCCTTCAGTGGTAGCTTACAGTGTGCCAGGCTAGTTCTCCTGCAGGTCACCCCTTGATTGCATTGCTCTTCATGGTCAGGTTGTAATCAGACTGGACTGTAAGCCTTCTGGAATGCTGATCCCCAAAGAGCAGGGAGTGCAGTGGTGCTTGGAAAAATCCTAACTGGCTGAAGAATTGGCTTAGTTTTCAAACGAAGATGATCTGCCTTTCTGGCAAACATCCTTTGGTGAGATAGAAACAGTTTGGGTTGAAGGAGGAGTGTGTTGTGCAGGAAGGTCAGGCTCATGCGCCCATAAACCCTTCTAGCAAAGCACAGGCTGAAAAGTGGTTGCTAGTGGCAGGATACAAGTAGAGCGCATCTTACTGCAGGAAAACTGCTGGTCTGTACACTCTGCAGTGGGTATAGGCTCCCCTCCGGCTCAGGACTGAGTGTGAGCCACCACTCAGTGTGGTCAGATAAGTAAAATGTAGTGTGATTTCTTCCTTCAGCACAGATCTCATTAGGCACCTGAGCCCCTTCCCAGCCATTCCCTCTGGTGTGTCCTCCCAGTACCATGATGCAGGAACTCTTGCCCAGGCCCCCAGCCAGCTGTGCCTGTGTGTTCCCTGGTTCCAGGTGGCACACAGCACTGCTTTTCCTCTGCTAGTGCCAACGTTTCATGGAAAAGAATGGGAATACTGGGCCGTTTTCTGGACCTTTGCTGTAGATTTTGAGCTGGCAAAAGAAGAACCTAACTTGATGAAAAGAGTTGTGTCAAACAAAGTGAAGGAATTGTCCCTCCCTTTCCCCCTCCTGCCCCCACGTATGGGTATGGCTGCTCTGGGACTTTGGGTATGTGTCTGCTGGGACTGTTTCTGGATGTGTGCTGACCTGTGCTGGGGTGCCCAGTCAGCCAGGGGCTAACCCTGCAGGTTATGCTTTGCACCTTGGCTCATGTAAACCTCTTGCTTCAGCAAGGGCTTGCAGATTTGGTATTCTTACACTGGGATTTCTTCCCTCATTTCGCTGTGGAGTCAGAAACCTGATGAAATGAGGGGAAGAACCTTGCAGTTGGTAGAGTCACATGGTTTGATGCCTGGGTAACTCACTGGCTCTGGCCCAAGTGCCAGTCTAAGCTAAGGAACAGGAATTTTGTTTCTGTTCTGTTTCTATAGAAACTTTCAGTTACTTAATCATGTCTGGAAAGATACTTGCTGATGAAGGACTGATGAGCTAATGAACAGTGTTAAAATGCTGTTAATATTTTTATTTTTTTACTTTTCCTTTTGACTTCATGTAGAAACTCCTTGAAGAGATTGTCAGTGTGAACTGCTGTGATTTCATTCTGATTGCATCACATGGCTGCACTGCAAAAACCCAACCCAACAACAAATACCCAACCCAGAAAAAGGGAGCAGTTCCTTCAGGAGTCGAGCAGGTGTAGCTGCATCATTGCATGAGTGAATGTCAGTTGGGTTTGAGGTATATAAAAACCCACATTTTTTAAAAAAAAATCATCTACCAAAACAGCTGTTTCATGATAGAAGCATAGTTTTACTGATAAACTGTTGCAATCACCTCGGTAAGCTAGACTGAATTTCCATGGGATCTTCTGGGGTTCCGTGAATTCTTGTCCTTTAGCCTCACTCCATGACCTGTTCCCTTTGCTGAAAAGCCTCTGGGCAGCTCCTACTTACTGCACCATTGCAAAGTATTCTTTATTTTCTGTTCCTTTCCTGGCTCCCATCAGTTGTTTCAGTGCTGACTGGTTTCTTTTGTTGCTGCTTTTACTTACAGTGCTCTCCACATTTCTCCAGTGCAGTGCTCTGTCTCCCATGTCCAGCTGGGAGGGAGGTAGGACAGGAAACTCCTCTGAGCCTGATGCTGCTGCACAAGGCAGTAGGTTTGCTCGGACTCCCTGACCTTACCTGTGTACCCCAGTTCTGAGAGCTGCAGCTCCTAGAGCATGGGGTGGAACTGGTTGGCAGGGCCACCCACACCCCAACAGATTTGGAACTGCAGCAGGGGGAAAGAAACAAGCATATTTTTAAAGAATGCAGGGGATTAACAGTGTTTCTGTGCCTCAGAGCAGACTACATTTGGCTAGCAAACAACTTTATTTAGAGATTGCATCATGCCTATTGCATATTTAGTACCGTCAGTAGTCATGTGAAGCCAAAAATCATACAGAATCTGTGGCATGAGCTTTGCTGTGCTTGCAGCAAACTCAGATGGTGGACACAGTGTTGTGTCTGCCTTGGTCCACATTCCACCTGAGCAGTACTCAAGCTCACTGGCAGCTTTGTGTGTGGTTGAGGATCTTTGTCCTTGGTTGAATCATGGAATTTTAGGGGTTGGAATGGAGCTTAGAGCTCATCCAGCCCCAACCCCTGCCCTGGGCAGGGACATCTCCCACCAGAGCAGGTTGCTCAAGGCTCATCCAACCTGGCTGTGAACACTGCCAGGGTTGGGGCAGCCACAGCCTCCCTGGGCAACCTGGGACAGTGTTTCACCACCAGAACAGGGAAAACTTCTGCCTAACATCTAGTCTAAATTTCCCTCCTTCAATTTGTGCCCATTGCCCCTTGTGCTGTCCCTGCAGCTCCTAACACAGATCCCTCTGCAGCTTCCCTGGAGCCCCTTCAGCTCCTGGAAGGTGCTCTGAGGTCTCCACACAACCTTCTCTTCTCCAGGCTCAACAGCCCCAACTCCCTCAGCCTGTCCTCACAGGGGAG